AAAAAGAAAAGCAGAGCATTCTGTAGTTTCAGTTTCACAGAGTGAAATGGGAGGCGGCGGCGCTGGAGGAACCCTCAAAGTGGACGAGTTTCAGCCTCATCCGATCAAGGAGCAACTTCCCGGCATCGATTTCTGCATTTCCAGCTCCCCCCCATGGCGTATTCTCCCCCTCTCTCTCTTTCTCTCTGTTTTTATTGGTTCTTCTTTTTCGTTAACTTCCCCCTCCTCTAACCCAGTTTGTTTTAGTTTCTCTCTTCCTTTCTTTTCTCCTGATCGCTCGACCAATTTCTCTCTACATTCGTTCTTTTGATGGAAAATCTGCTATTCGATCGTCTTCATCGATTTTTGTAACTCGAGCATTGTTTTATTTGGTAACTGTGCTGTTTGGCTGTGGAGGAACGTTACATCTGGGAGGGAAATGAGGGAAAAGTTTTAGCCGTTTTCTTATTTTGTTGGGTATCGAAGAACAAGTCGGAAAAGGAACAAAGAGTTTCAGGGGAGGAAAGTGGGCTAAAATTCTTCGAAATCGATTAGTGTGTTATGAAGTAGTTTCGTGGAAGCGAGACAGCGCAATCGCTTCCCGGATACTATGGGTTTCTTATTTTCTTGGATTCCAAGCAACGGGGATCTGTTTTCCCCTGTAATTCTCTCTCTGTTTTTCTTCGTTTCCCCTTTAACCCAGATTGTAATCTTGTTTACATTGTTGATTGTTCACATAAAACCATTGAAATTTAATTTAAACGAAAATGGGAGCTGATTTAAGTTTTGAACGAAATGATTGCAGCCGAAGTCATACTTCTGGGATTTCAACACTACTTGGTGATGCTTGGAACTACTGTTGCACTCTCCACTATACTCGTTCCTCTCATGGGTGGCGGAAATGTAAGAATATTTTCCAAGAAAACTTTTCAGTTTCTCCCCACCTTTTTTTTCCTTCATTTTCTCTCCAACCAAACAGTGTTTGTATATATGATAGGTGGAGAAGGCTGAAATGATAAACACTCTGTTGTTTGTTGCGGGTATCAATACTTTATTACAAACCTGGTTCGGCACCCGGTTGCCGGTGGTGATTGGTGGGTCGTATGCCTTCATCATCCCGGCCATTTCGGTGGTTTTGTCTCGGAGATTTAATTTCTATGTTGATCCTCACCAGGTCTGGCCGATATTTTGAGTATTCCCCACTTTGTTTTTAGACAAAAATCACTTGGGAGAAAGAAAAATGCCCTGAGATTGCTTTTGTTTCGTTGTTATCTTCAATTTTGTGCTTTTCTTTTCGTTCTCTCTCTAGAGGTTTAGAGAATCAATGAAGGCTCTACAAGGAGCACTGATTGTTGCGTCTTTCCTGCAAATGATAGTCGGTTTTTTGGGATTCTGGAGGATTGTTGCAAGGTATGTAAGATACTGAGTTGGTGGCACAGAAATTAATTAATATGGGATTTCTGTAAGATTTCAATTTTACATCTTATTTGTGTAATGCAGGTATTTTAGCCCTTTATCTGCAGTTCCTCTTGTAACTCTCACTGGACTCGGTCTATTCGCACTCGGTTTTCCTCAAGTAAGAGAGATTGACACTTCTCTGCCCCCATGATAACGCCCCCTTAAACATTCTGATTTTTCATTGGAAGAAAAAGGAAAGCAAAAAGTTGGATGATAAAACAAGAGAGTCCAAATCAAGATTGGATAGTTCCGGGGATCAGAATTGAATTTCGTTTGCTACGTTATTAATCTTTAGATGCTATAAATGAACAACTTTCCTTTGGAAATAAGTAGATAAATCTTATTTCTCTTGATGGTTGCAGCTAGCTAATTGTGTTGAACTTGGACTCCCAGAGTTGGTCATAGTGGTTTTATTATCCCAGGTGAGCTAGTTTAACTTCCCCTTGCTCTTGCTCATCTTTATTTAAGCTGTTCTTAAGTCAGGAAACCTGATATTATAGTCATTTTACTGCAGTACGTTCCACCCCTGTTGAAAGGCAGACGAGCCGTATTTGATCGATTTGCAGTTATTTTCTCAGTAGCTATTGTGTGGGCATATGCAGAGATATTGACTGCAGCTGGTGCATATAAAAACAAATCTCCAAGTACTCAATTCAGTTGCCGCACAGATCGTTCTGGGCTCATTAGTGCTGCCTCCTGGTATGCTTTAGTTTACCTTCTAAACTCTGAATCATTATAACTAATAATGGCTGAGACTTTTTATCTGGAGAACTCTCAATCACCAAATAGCTATCCTTTATCGAGCATCGAGACCATAGACGTGCGGAGTATAATTTCTGAACCATTTTCTTGACAATGTTGAGGGTTTTAGACTAAAGATACAGAAGTTCATGCACTAACTTCATCTCTGGTTGCTTCATGGCTTCTGAGCATTCCAAATTCACTCCTGAATAGTGGTCTTCTGAGTGTGAAAATTTCTATCAGTTCTACTTTAGAAAGATTAAATTTGTATAACACTCAAATCTTGCTAGTTTAAGAGCTTATAGAATCTTGTCATCTACATTCAACAGTACTCGTTTAACTACAGGATAAAGGTTCCTTATCCATTTCGCTGGGGGGCTCCTAGATTTGATGCTGGAGATGCTTTTTCTATGATGGCTTCTGCCTTTGTTGCTCTCGTTGAGGTGAATGAATTTCCAACACATTTCTTTGTTTCTTGCAATTTGTAAATTATAGAACACCAGCTATATTCTTAAAGAACAAGTTACCATATTAATGTTGTCTCTCTACCTTTCCGCTGTTTTGGCAGTCTACAGGAACATTCATTGCAGCTGCAAGATATGGGAGTGCCACACATATACCTCCTTCTGTACTAAGCCGTGGCGTCGGTTGGCTGGTAGTTTAGCAATCCTCCAATACTTATATTAGTTTGCCTCTTTTGTTGCACATATTTTCTGATAAATCGCCAGGAAGGGAATGAACTACTGTTTGTTCCATGTATATACAGGGGGTAGGGACTTTACTGAATGGTGCATTTGGCACTGGCGTTGGATCCACTGCATCAGTGTAAGAACAAAGCTTATTGACTTCGCTTGTAGCTATTTTGGACAAAACTTAAAAAATATTAAGCCTTCTCTATTGCACAATTTAGTCTCGAAAGCAATCCCACCGCGCTCAAAGTACTGAATACTGTGACCAACTGAAACCAAATTTTATTAGGATAAACGAAGGGATGCAACTGGACAATTCAAAAAAAGAGGAAACAACAAGAGCCTGTTCAAAGGAGAGTAACTAAAATACAATAGAACATTACAAAAGATAGTTCAAATTGTTGAGGATAAGAGATAAGAGGACGTCTATACAACTTTTGGGTCACAAACACTGAGAGAATTGTTGAAACTCTTTGTAGAACACACTTCCCCGAGGGTTCTCAGCCTCTCTAAAGCTCTTGTATTTCTCTAGAGCCAAAGATTCCATAAAATAGTAAAAATGTAGGCACTAAAGTCCCCCGAATAATTATATGATACGATGGCGATCAATGATCATCTGATATTGGTGTTGGATAACATGGAACCAGCGAAAATACTACTCTTTTCGTAAAATTGAGTTAGAATATCATAGAAATCTGACTAAGGGGCTCAAATCCAAAAGGATAATATCATGGGGATCAATTGGATGACATAGAGCAGGCAAAAAAACTATTCTTTTCGTAAAATTGAGTTCGGATATCATACAAATTTGACCAAGGGGATCCAATCCAAAAGGATACATGAGGATCAATGATCAATTGACCTTGGTGATTGAATAACATAGAACCGACAAAAATACTAAATTGAGTTAGGATATCATAGAAATCTGACTAGTGGATCCCAATTAACTCAGATATTGACCCCAACAGGAAGTCTTAAATCTAATAATCTCCACCCCTAAAGATTCTACTATTTTTCTCGATCCATATCCCTAAAAAATAGAAAAGAAACAAGCTTGATACACAAAATCTTACGTTATCCTGAAAAGGAAGAAGCAAAATAACCCGTTCCATCTTGAATGCCTAGATGTTGCTATCATATCATTGTTCTTTTTCTGTAGTAACAGTTGGATATAAATGCAAAATTGAATTCAATCCACCTCTACAGTGAAAACGCAGGTCTTTTGGGTTTGACACGAGTTGGAAGCCGGAGAGCCATTCAAATTTCTGCTGGGTTTATGCTTTTCTTCTCCGTGCTAGGTACTCTCAGTTAAAAGTTATTTAACTCAGTGAATACACGACATATAACATATTTAATGTCCACGACTATGCAATTATGCTTTGCAAGATCTTAAACTACCAGTTAAATGATTGTTCAACATGGCCTTTGGTATTACTTTTTATTTTATTTTATTTAATTAACAGCTTTTCAAGTTTATCTTATCCATGATAACAGGCAAGTTTGGTGCTGTCCTTGCTTCTATACCCTTACCTATAATGGCAGCCCTGTACTGTGTCCTCTTTGCCTATATAGGTAAGTTACTTTGTTTTGTATGCTCTGTGATCAAACTTGTCCAGAAAAACCCAAAAGGAATCAAAATGTTACCATAGTAGACTGGCCGCTAAAGATTTGAAAAGATTTGAGTGAATTTCGTCTTTAATTTTCTGTTTTTTTGGAAACTATGTTCGTTTACTCTTTTGTTTTTCACCTTTTTAAAAGTAGTTTGATTTCTTATCCAGATTTCGTAACAAACAAAACAAAACCTTGAAAACTACTTTAATTTGCATAGGATTTTTATGAAGTAGATCACAAAACATAGAAACTACGTGTCAGTAAACTCATTTTTCAAAAACAAAAATTTAACAACAAAGTGGTGATCAAAAGTACCCAAAATTAATAATGGAATTGAAATAATCTTAAACTCATACTCTAATCATGAAACCACTTATAGCCAAAACAAAAGCCACCTGCTGGAAATAATTAAAGCAGACCTATAAGACTGCTAAGATAGAATGGTGTCAATAACTTTATACTGCACACTGCTGTTAATGTTTATTGCAAATTATGTATTACAGTTGACTATAAATTCTCAGCTACTATTTAACTTCATGTTGTGATAACCACCAACTGTAGAGTGTGAGCTACCACAAAAGTGCAAATAATTACATGGGAATAAAGGCCATCCGAGCTGTATCATCTCTAGTTTAGCCTCATAACTTATTAGAGAGATCCTTAACTTAAAACCTTAACCTTCGAAACCGAAATCTGCAGTGGCTTCAAGATTCACTTTGTGTAAAGCACTACCTAACAAAACAATCAAACAGAACACAGACCAGACTATTTAAGAATATGAAACAAATCCCAATAACATGTCTGTCCTAAATGACAATTCCAAAAGAAACTTATTGACTTTTCTTTTTTGATTATGTAGCTAAGGGGACGACTTGAGCTTTTTATTCATAACTTGTCTCCACCAGGCCTTGAATTTTACACTGTTCTATCGACAAACTTAGCCATCACAACTTTATAAAGAGCTCCTTAACAAGACAACCGAACAGAGGGAAGACAAAATAATTCAGAATACCAATTTCCAATAACATGTCTGACCCAGTGACTACTCCAAAAGAAACTTGTTTACTTTTCTTTTTTGATCATCTACCAAAGGGGAGGACTTAAGCTTTTTATGCATCACTTCATGTCTCAACCAGGTCTTTAATCATCTACACTATTTTATCCACAAACTTTGCCACTTGATTTGAACATTTCTGTGAACTCCTGACATCAACTTTTGTGCTAAAACCTTTTTGGCCCAATAATCTTAAAAAACTGGAAACAGACCTTACCCCATGAATGCTATAAATGAACGTCAGTGTGGTGGGGGCTAATTTTTTCCAATTTGCTGGTGTACGGAAAGTGTTTGATTAGCATGTCAGTTCCAGTTCATCTTCTCCTACACAGAATTAAACTCTAGGCTTTTAATGTGATACTTCATTGGACAAACAGCTTCTGCCGGTCTCGGGTTCCTTCAGTTCTGCAATCTAAACAGCTTTCGGTCAAAATTCGTACTCGGATTTTCTCTGTTCTTGGGCCTCTCTGTGCCCCAGTACTTCAATGAGTATCTTCTCATTTCTGGGCATGGTCCTGTTCACACTAAAGCCACATGGGTGAGCTCAAATTTACTCCCATAAACTTGTTTAATTCTGATTAGCAGATAGACTATGCTGTCTGAATTCTAACATGAAAAGTTCCAAATGTTCTGTCATTTGCAGTTTAACAACATTGTCCAAGTGATCTTTACTTCCCCAGCAACAGTGGCAGCTATGGTTGCCTTCTTCTTGGACATCACATTGTCAAGGAATCATGGCTCGACCCGCCGAGACAGCGGTCGCCACTGGTGGGAGAAGTTCTGGTCCTTCAGTCTCGATACAAGGAGCGAAGAGTTCTACTCCCTTCCTTGGAACCTCAACAGGTTCTTCCCATCAGCCTAACTTTGAATTACTAATCATCACTGAACAGAATCAAAGGGATAGAGAAGGATAAAGTACAGGAAATGTTTGATCTTGTTTTGAGTGAAAACAAGTTATTTGGACACTTTTTATCCTTAAAGAGAGAATGTTTAAAGCATATGCATAGGAGAAAAACACTGAAATTAGCTTGCTATTTGAATATCTTGTTAAGGCTGTCCCTACACTATTATTATACCAGTAAATTAAAAGTCGTTACAGAGTTGAATCTTCATTTTTGTTTATGCTGTTCTATGGCCTGAACAGGAAATTGTGAAGTTAACTGACGGCAGTTTGGTAATATTTCATTTTTAAGAAAGAAAAGCCAAAATGTATTTCTCAATTTTTTTCTTTAATTGGGAAAACAAATGAACATATGCTTGCTAATGTTTCTACTCTTTTATTTGGGGAGTAGTTTTTAATATAAAATATTCAAAATTATCCTAAGAAAATGGTAAAATGATATTTTTATTTACGTCGTTGGAAAACATTGTGATAAGAAAATTAAAAAAAGTACTTTAAATTCTTCACCCAAAAAAGGACTTTAAAAAATAAGTTAAAATKTTTTTAATTTTCCTTTGCATTTACTTTAAATTTGGTTTTGAATTTAGGCAAATGAGAATTAAAAAAAAAAAAACAAAGTAATAGAATGAAAAATTGTGGTCAAATAATTATAATTAATATTATGTCCGAAGTCAAAGTTGAATTAATCTCATCTGACAGATCCGGACGTTTGAGCCATGCTACCATATCCTTTTTTTTTCTTTCAATTAATGTTAGGAAGAGGATGAACGGTCAAGATTGATTTGTGATATTTTTTTAATTTTATTTTTAAAAAAATATAAAAAAGTTTTACACATGAACTTCGAAAGGGGTACCGATTTTTACCTTCAGTTTAATACATAGTACAATTTTAACATTAAATTTGAACATGCCTTGCAATTTTTCCTTCTTTTATACATCTTCTTTTGAAGAATCATTAAAATAGTTATATATTTTCACACATGTTCAATTAATTATTAAACATTTGTAGTACAAATTAGTGAGACTTTAAAAAAATAAAAAACAAAATAAAACTGGTCTTTTTTTTCTGTTGAAATTTGTAAGTTTTTGGAGATTGATTAATTGGTTAATAATGATAAAAATTAAACAATTTTTTTTGACTCATCCTGAAAATAACAATTTTTTAAAAAAGTTGCTTTTCAAAAAGTACTTTAAAGTTTAAACTTAAACTTCACTCAACCTATATATAAGTTTTTTGCTTCTATTTTAACTTACTTTTTTTATTTAATTTTAAAAGTAAAAAAATAACCTCAAAACTAAAGTCAAATTGAACAACGTTGTCCGATTAGGACACTGCAATTAATATAGTAAAAAACAAACATTTAATTTGTAGTGAATTCTAAAGCGAGTTTCAAATCAAAGAGTGAAATTAAAATCTATAGGATGAGCAAATATCTCAACAAAAAAAAATGAAAATTAAATTCCATCATGCTAAATTGAGAAAAAAGAATTGATTCTCCAAAACTTTGGAAAAGTTTACAAATTTGATGCCCATTATTAGTGGCTATCTTTTTCCCCTTTGAATTGGAAATGAAAAAGGAAGTGAGAGCCATTAATTTTGCTGAAACATAAAACTACTGATTGTTAATATCACATTGGAATTTTCCTATTTTGCCTCACAACGTAATGTCTCCAAAAACATTGTGTCAGCCAAAATGCCAAAAGTCATCTAACATTGAAACTTGCCCATTGGAAAAAAATAATAATAATAAAAGGAAAAAAAAAAAGACATTTTCAATGTCTCGGTAAAAATGTGGTTGCTACACATCCAAAATTTCGGAGACACGATGTGCATTGAACAGTCGATGTTGCTGTCACCTGACTCCCTATGAAGAGAAGCATAATTAGGACTCTAGGTTGGCAACCCAACCTCGACTTGAGACCATAGATTGATCTTTTACTAACTTGAATGTTGAAGTATTTGCTTTTTTTATGCAAGTCTTTTCTAACCAAACTCGTTTTCAAGGACATACTTTTTTTTTAGTACAACATGTGGGGGTGAGGGATCAAACTCACAAACTCTTGGTTATAAATATATGTCAATTACCGCTAAGCTATGCTCGCTTTGGCTTTTAAACACATATACTTGAAATATAATAATGAATTTAGAAAATCGGTGATCTAAAGTCTTAAATGCAATAAATTCGACATGAATAACCGAAATAGTTTTTTTTTTTAAAGGAAATTCAAAGATCCTCGTAGAAATTAATCTTAAAAAATCGTCTTTCTACATATGCTTTAATTAATTAAAAAATGATGCATAATAAAGGGCCAAAGTTATTCAATTTCATTTTATTATTATTTTTTGAAATATTCAATTTCTTTTATTGGTTTGTGAGTTTGAATCATATATGTCCTCTCCCAATTGTTGAGTTTGACCCATGGAGTTAACTACTTTGTTTTATATAATTAATATGTTATTGAAAAAGTTTGCGAATTGGATTTTTAGTGGATATAATCTCGTTTTAATTATCAGTTTTTCCACACAATAAATAATAAGATATATAAAGCCAAATACTTATTATGATATAAGAAAGTAGTATGTTTGATTAATTTTAATGTGACTCAAAATAATAATAGCATTACTAATTTTTATGTGTGTTGTTACTTCATTACTATATGAAACCTTTTTTTAAAAAATGCAAATATAATAGGATTAAGTCTAATTATGCACTTTCATTTTTTTTAAAAAAAAAAAGTTAGGATTATGAACGTGCTGGATACCAATTTCTTTGCCTTTTTTTTCCGTAAAAAACGTACATGTTAAAATTAGTTTATTCGTTTTAACCCTTTTTTTTCTCTCGTTTTAGATAAGTTCCTAAAATTTGAACTCTTTTTTATGATGTGAGATTCTAAATTAAATAAGGTTTTAGGAGTATCTTAATAAATAAATATGCTTTTTAATATTGGTATTATTATTATTATTATTATTTTGTAGATTGAAAATTTGGTGATAATTTAAAAAAAAATGATGATTGATTGTTGGACAAAACCCACAAAATAATTCAATATTTCAAAATAATTTCATGTTGTTATTAAGTTTTAACTTTTATTTTTCTCTGAACCCACACTCAAGAGGGGGTTCTAAAAGGAACTTCCCTAAGAAAATAAAATAAAATTAATAAAATTCTTTGAAAAGATATATATATGGTATTGTTAATTTGAATTAAGCTTCGACGGACATGTGCACACACAAGAGRTCTGCACACTGATGTAGTACTAAAACCAACAAATTTTGATGTATAAGTCATAAATAAGATGGTAGAATATATCTCGTCCTCCAAACCTCTCTTAACTTTTTCTCTCACATTAGAATACGCCTAATTACTTAAAAGCATATAAATCATGCATTGTGATCAAGGTAAGAAAGAGTGTGATTGTCTATTAGACTAATTAGTCCACCAAAAAGAAATTAAATTTTAAACTAACATAAAGAATGTGGGTTTTGGATGTTGGACTTTATGAATGATGGAAATCCCATGTCTAATCTTATTTTAATTTTATCCCCCAACAAAATTTCCTTAACTTTTATTTTATAGCCAAAATTGGATTGGATAGGAGCATTGAAAACCTATATACCTTTTTCTTTGAAAATCTCTTAACCACTCATGAACCATATCGRTTCACAAAATAAAAAAAATAAAAAAATATAGGGGCTTATTTCTCGGTCCTTTCTAAACTTCTAAGCTAGTTTTATTTTCATCTTTATACTTTCAAATATTCTATTTTGATATACAAACTTGCATAAATACTCGTTTTGGTCCTTATCATTAAAAGAATGTTGTCATGCATTTAGAAGTCCTAAACAACATTTATTTTAAAATTTAATATCAATCTGGATACATGCAATTTAAAACACAAGTTCATCTAACAAGTAACAATACACAATTTCTGTTAAAAATACATTAAAAAACAGAGGTAAGGGCTAAAAATTAAACTTTGTAATATATTTAAATTAATTAGAAATAAGAAAGTGGTATTATATACAATTTTGCTATGACAAAGTTKGTGATTATGATTATAGAAAATTTCTATAAACAACATGAAAAATAACATTTTTATTCACCTTAATTTTACTCAAATTGGTTTTTATTCCGATTTTTAGTAAATAAATGAGGCCTTTAATTTTATTTTTTTACACTTTAATTAATTAAGCAGGGAAATTAAATTTTTTTTAAAATTTAAAAAGGGCACAATCCAGTGTGGTGATGTAGTATGGGGCTAGTTAGAATCCACGAATAATAAATTGACAACTCAGCTACTCTAAACTTCTTGACCCTTACCAAAAAGCTTCCCCACAAATACTCTCACTGTCTCACTCTCAC